AAGTATTATTGACCAATGTTTATTAATTCCTGTTATGTTGGTGTTGCAGTGCTATTTTCTCATATCTCTTTTGATGCACTCTTCTGGGGTAATTTATTCTTTGTGTCATCTTGAGAGGGCACAATCTTCTCTTCAGACCAAAGTATTCCATCAAGTATTGTGCTAGATAGCTTTAGTTGTCAACTTGACACACCTGATTAGAGGGAACCTCGATTGAGGAATTTTCTTCATTAGATTGGCCTGTGGCCATGTCTGTGGGGCATTTTCTTGATTGTTCAGTGATATGAGAGGGCCTAGCCCATGCCAGTGCCACCCAGGGTGGGTGGTTCTGTATTATATAAGAAAGCAGGCTGTGCACAGGCCAGAGGAGCAAGCCAATAAGCAGCACTCCTCCACGGTCTGTGCTCCAGGCTCCTGCCCTGAGTTCCTGACTTGACTTCCCTTGATGAATTGTGTTGTAAGCCAAATAAAGCCTTTCCTCCCAAAACTGTTTTTGGTCAGTGTTTTTATCACAGCAATAGAGGGTAACTAAGACAAGGATCCCATCTGCAGAGCTGGTTTCATAGACATAAATTCCCTAAATTTGTCTTCATCATGGAAAGCTTTTCTTTCTTCTTCAATTGTAGTTAATAGTTTTGCTGGGTATAGTAGTCTGGGCTATACTCTGGTTCATTCATCACTTGTATGACATTGGTTCAAGCTCTTTAAGCTTTCATAGTCTCCATTGAAAAGTCAACTGTTACTCTGATGGGCCTACCTTTATAGGTGACTTGGTCTTTCTCACAGTTTTCAATATCTTTTCTTTGTTCTTTACATTGAGAGCTTTGATGATCATACAACATGGGGAATTTCTTTTCTGGTCCTGTCTACTTACTGTTCTGTATGCCTCTTGAACCTTGATATGTATCACTTTCCCCAGATTTAGGGAGTTCTTCCTATGATTTCATTTAAAATATTTTCCATGCTTTTGACCTGGGTTTCTTCTCCTTCTATCCCTATGATTCATAGTTCTGGTCAAAGGTTTACAGTGTCACAGAAGCCTTGCATACTCCATTCCTGGAATATTTTAGGTTTTGCATTTTCTTTGCACAATCCATTTCCCCAAGCTTGTCTTCATGATCTGATAGTTTCTGCTCATTTCCTCCACTTCCTGCTTTGCTTCTTCCTTCTGTTTTGAGTTCCTGAATTTTTCATTTCAAGTTTTATTTCAGTTTGGTTTTTCTCCAAAGATTCTGTATCTTTACTGAATTTTAATCTCAGGTTTTGAATTTTTTTAGTTATTTCATTCAACTGTTTGTGTTTCACCACCTTCATTTAGTCTCTTACAACTTCTTTGAGTTCCTTGAACATATTTGTAATTGCTATTTTGAAATTATTGTTTTGTGCATCTTTTAGGTTGCCATTCTCAGGAAACATGATGATGGGTGTGTTAATTTCAAGACAGGTCTGGAAAGCTCCCAGAAGCAAACAAGGATCCTGGCAGAGCTGAGACAGTAATGGTGTAGCACAGGGACATGGTTTATAAAGCATAATGTAATTCATTGGCTGACCAATGATTCACTTGTAGAAAAATGATTCACTATTCAGTAATGTTTCATTATACAAGATATTCTGATCAATACTTAAAAATATTAAACACCATTATGCTATTACTAGAAGTATTGCTAACTTAGCAATAAGTCATTTGTATTATGCCATTTATTAAACTGAAAAGAAAGGTGATACAGTCTGGTTTTTATTTGAGAAGTGATTTAATTTCAGTCATTTGATTCTTCTCTACCTGAAAAGTACATTTGCTTCCCAGTATTGGGTGACAGTGAGGTGTGAGCAGCATTCCTGGTCCTCCCTTTCCCTCTAACAGAAAGCAATACGGAGATCAGCAGTTAACACTCTTTACTTCTTAAGCAAACTCAGCTCCAAAAACACATGAGGACACCTAGAGTCCTGTGCAAGGTGTTCTCAGTTCCAATATTTCCCTCTAATACAAGTCATGCCAGCTGCTCCATCACCAAACAGGAAGTGATCAATGAAGACAAATGAAGATAACAGCACCCTCACTGGCATCATTATTTACAAGTTTTTGTATCCAAATATACATAGATAAAACATCCTCACAGACGAATTGGTGTTAAGAATTGAAAATGCACAGTATCACCCACAAATATCCTTTCTATATTCTGAGATCCTATGAATATTTTCAAGGTAGGAAACTTAAATACCCCAGCTACCCATTAACATGTGTGTTAAGCAGAGCACCAGAACTGACTACCTCATAGGAGTAAAACCAAGCCTCTAGTGCTCCTTAGTTCTCTGACCTGTGAGTCTTGACCTGGAAGTAAAGAACCAGAAGTAGGACTGAGCAGAAGGGATCAAGATTTACACGTGTGTGTGTCTGTGTGTTGTATGTATATATGATTGTCTTTCTCAATGCCATTAATTTTTTGTGAGTATCTGGAATGACTGGAAGAAATTCAAAAGGAAAAAGTTGCCTATTCTGGCCACAATGTGTTGGAGGCACTGGGTAAACTAAGCTTCCTTCAGATCCCAATAGATATATCATATAACATGGCTCAAAAAGAAAGAACCAGGATGGAAGTCAAGTATTATTTCCTTTGACCTATTGCTCAAGGGAATGCCTTATTACCTGGGGAATTAATTCCATTCCCACAGGAACTGGACTGTCTAGAGTAAATTAACAACAAAGAATTGAGAGCAGTGAGGATATAGAGCAGAAGAAAGTAGAGCATGGAGTGTGTGAACTAGGAGTCCCAAGAAGGGAAAAAACCCATCGTTTTGGCCTGACTCACATCAGCAAGGGGGCTTGATCCTTTAGGAAGAATCAGGACAGCTTTCAATGTAGACTTCCTGTCTCTGTGATCCCAGTGGGTGTTCCAGAAGGTGAAGGCAGGACATGCAACTGAATACCACACTGCATAAGAAATTGCAAGTGTGTGGTAATCCCCGGGGCTCGGTGGTACCAGTGAGGAAGCTGTATGTGCACAGCCATTTTGATCACATGTTGCCGCCGTCTTGGTGTAACATATATCTACTTCCATTGTCATCATGGTCATATGACAGCCCCTCCTCATTCTCACATGGGACACCTGTGGCACATCCCCATGCTAAGCAACTTTCCTAATAACACAAAGGAGCACCTGTCATCATTTATTTTCTCACAAAGGAGCCTATGTTCTATGCAAATATGCTTTTACTCAGGCAAAGTGTTATGTAGTTACTTAGGCTTCTAGCATCTATGCATGTGCATTTATTCCACACATCTACCTGCTGTACTTAGTGAAGTATTTCCCCCACAGGTCAGCTTCCCCCTTTCCCAAGGACAGCCATGCATAGCCTCCAGTGTGATACACAATTCTTATTACTGTTATTCAACACTGTTATTTTGTATGTGCTACCTGACCCCAGATAAACTGTAAACTGCTTATAAATAAGGCCTGTGGCTTTCTGCTGTAACTTCTGTTGATTTTTTTTGTTACAGCCAGTGTCCATCTTGTGCTGTATACTACTACATAGCAGTACGGAATTGCCAATGGATTCTTCCTGAACTGAGTTTACTCGTGTCTGACTACCTTTGGGTTTGGGGGAAAGTACCACATTAAGTATCTCTGCATCTATAAAAGTATAAAATACTACCTGCCTTAGTATCTGTTATGAGGAATAAGGTAACTAATACTAAGCAGCCCAGTGTAGCAAATGGCCTAAAATGGTGTTTAATATGATGGCCACTATGAGCCCTACTGGATGCCTCAATTAGTCATTTGTACCTGTCTATTCTTCTAACAAAGTATTCTGACTATGGGACCATTCCAAGTACTTCTTTATAACTGCTCAGTGCTCAGCTGTTCTATACTGCAACTCATATGGCTAAGTTGCTGTGGTTTAAACAGTTCTGTTTCCTCCCAAAAAATTATGTTGAAAATCCTCAATACAACAATACATTAAGAAGTATGACATGTAATAGCAGATTGAATCATGAATGGGATTAACTGTCCTGATAAAAGGGTTTAGGGAACTAGGCCTAGTATCCCAGGCTTCTAACCCCAGCTTCTGAGTAGTCTAAGACAGGAGGATTGCAAGTTTAATGTCTGACTGGGCTATAGGGCAAGTTCAGTTCCAGTTTGGACTAATTAGTGACACTCTGTCTAAAGGTAAAAAGTAACAGATGAGATAGGGGTAGATCTGGGAGATGGTTTAGTGGGTAAGACACTTGTCACATTAGCATGAGGACCTGAGTTTGGATGCCCAGGATTCACCTACCACCAGACAGATGTGAGCACATCTGTAATTACATTGCTCCTATAGCAAGATTGGAGGAAGAGAGAGGAGATTTCATAGAAGCTTGCAGGCCAGCTAGTCTGGTGTGTACACCAGGGAACAACACAAGACCTGCCTGAAATAAGGCCAAAAGTGCAGATGAACACTTAAGATTGTCCTATGACCTGCACATGCATGCTGTGGCATGTACCCAAACATGGACACACACACACACACACACCACACAAAGATCTTTAAAAATGGCCTAGGGGTGTAGCTTAGTGGTAGAGTGCCTGCCTAGCATTTGCTGAGGCCCAAGGTTCAATTCCTAGTTCTGCAAAAATAAAAATAAAAAAGAAAACATCTTGGTTGTGGGGGAGCTGTTCTGCCCTCACATTCCTTCTACCATGTCAGGACAAGGTGCTCCTCTTCTCTGGAGGACACAGAAACACCACTTCGGAGCCACAGATCAGCCCTCACATGACTCAAATTCCCCTTAGACTGCCCAGGCTCCAGAGCTGTGAAAAGCAAATTCTAGTTTACAGGTAGTCAGACTGCGGTATTTTCCTTTACAAGCACAGGTTGGCTAAGACATTGCTAACCATATGATTACAATCCTTGGTTAGATTTCAGTCAATCAAGATACTAAGTTTACGTGAGTAAATATTCTAAATATTTTTCATTCAAGAATGTCGTATATGTTCATACACATCTGCAAGAGGCAAGGCAAAGCTTTACTTTTTATTCATTACATACAGAATAGAAAGCTGTGTGAACAAGAAAAGCATGACACAGCACTGCTGTCTGCAGTGAAGGCGACTGCACTGCGCATTCCTTTCTTCTCACCTTGGTTTACACACTCCAGGTGCTTCTTTCAGTCACGTTTTCTCTTCCAGATTTTAAGATATGAGTCCGCCTCCTGTAAAAGAGTGACAGAAACATGATCCAATCCCTCCTCCTCCTCACTTGTGTTTCCCAATCAAGCTCAAGAATTCTATCATCATTCACTGCAAAGGATCCTTGCAAGCCTCAGGCAACACTTTAACTGGAATTAAAACATCATTGCCAGAATTCTAGATCTACACACATTTGCCCTTGGGCTTAGTGTCCTTGTGTTCTGTGTGTGGCAGAAATACCATCCATTAGTTTCTACCCACTTATTTCCTGAATGCTGAGTTCTCTTATTTTGCTCCTCCAGATCAGCACACCACACCTACACTGCCTATTCCCAAGGACACACAAAATAAGTCAGAATGTCTAGAAGTGAAATGCTTGGATGATAACTCTGAATTTACTTATGAACTTTTAGTACATTGTTTCAAAGATAAAACAAGGCACCTTGCTAATCCCTGAAATGTGGCTTCTGTTTAGAAAGATGAGCACCTGTTCTTCCAAGAATTTGCACTAAAAAAGACAACGTTAACCCAAAAGGCACTGTGGTTATTGTTCTGTGTAAAGAATGGGGTATCATCACCCTGACATGGTGCCAGGAAATAGTCTGTTTTACTCAGAGAAAAGTCACAAAGCAGTGAGATCATGAACTCAGCGGCAGAAAAAAGTTAGCAACTGGGGTGGGGGATGGCATCCTTTAGAGAGGGCTGACGTCTTCAAAACAGACTTTCTGGGGGACCTTTTCATTTTAAGGCTAGATCTTCTTATGAAAGCCAAACTCACCGTCATATGGACATTTCTAACAGAGTAAGAACCACACCGTGGGTCTAATCTGATCTTTCCAGAACAAATCTTTTTTTAAAAAATATTTTATTATTTTTATTTTATGTGTATGAGTATATTCCCAGCATGTAAGTGAGTGCACCTATGTCATGCAATGCCACGGAGGTCAGAAAAGGGTTTCGGATCCCCCTGGAACTGGAGTTAAGAATGGTTTGTGGCTGCCATGTGGGTGCTGGGACTAGAACCCGGGTCCTCTGCAAGAGCAGTCAGTGCTCTTAACCGCTGAGCCATCTCTCCTGCCCCCAAGAACAAATCTTTCTATAGTATGTTCTTTCGCTGCTTTATTAATGAAATCATTAATAATGTAAAACTTTTTGAGACAGGGCTATCCCAGACTGGCCTGGAACTCCCTATGTAGCCCAAGATGACCTTGAATTTCTGATCCTCTTGTCTCCACTTTCTGAGTGCTGGGATTGCAGGCATGCCCTCCATGCCCAGTTTATGTGGTCCTGGGGATAAAACCCAGGGCCAGGCACATGCTAGACCAGAACTCTACCTACTCACATACAACCTCAGCCCCAAGATGTGAATCCAAAGAGAGGTTTTTTTTTTTCCTGTTATGAAAAAAGTTGTTTATTTTGGTATTTTAATTTAGAAATAGGAAACAGAAAGAGGAAAGGTAGAAGAAACACAAAGTATACAGGCAAAATTTACTTCATGAGCTTCTCACACCCTCATTGTTTACTAAGTCCAAGATGAAAAAGGATTCAGCCATCCACAATAATGTATCAGTTTCACAAAGAAGCTGATGAATCCCATTATAGCAAATCCTATTGCTATGGCCATGGCAATCTTCTGGAATTCTTTTCTATCAGGTTTGGTGCATCTTTTAACCAGTCGATTTGAGTCCTTTACAAACTGCCGACATGGCTCAACAAATTGCATTACCTGATCCATGATTGATTGTGGGATGGCAGCTTAAGAAGTTAGAGACATGTAGTACAGGATGGGGACAGATGCCCAATGGCCAAAGAGAGTTTTTTTAAGAGCTGGGTATGGTGATTCATGACTTGTAATCCTAGCACTTGGGAAGCTGAAGGAGGAGAGCTGCTATGAGTTTGAAGCCAGTCTGGATCACACACAATAAGTTCTACACTAGTCTGGAATACAGTATAAAACCTAGTCTCAGAAAAAATAAAACCACAAGTAGGGAGAATGGTTTGTAACATGAATTGGGAATACTTGAAATTTTTGAGGAAACAGAATTATCCTAAGAGATTTAGGAATTCCACTTATATGTGAAATAGTCCAATTTCTTTTGTAAAAAAAAAATACCTGAGTCTGGGTTATTACCTGAAGAAGAGATTTTTTTAGCTCACAGTTTTAGGAGTTTCAGGTCGAAGATTGGGTGTTTCACTTGTGCAATCTTTGGTGAGAACTCCCTCAGCTGGATCACAACATGACAGAGAAATGCTAAAATAACCAGTTACAAGTAGATGGGTCCAAGCATGTGGTGGCCTTTTAGGATCACCCACTGTGATAGTTAGTGCTATCAATTTCACAGACTCTAGAAATCCCTGAGAGACGGGCCTCTGGGCATGCCTATAAAGGATTATCCTGATTAAGTTAGTTGAGGTGGGAAGACCCAGCCTAAAAGTAAGCAGCTCCATTCCCTGGGTTTGGGGTGCTGAACTCTATAAAATGCAGAACATAGATTGATCACATGCACTCATCGCTCTCTGCTTCCTGATTGTGTATATAATGTTACAGCTGCTTAAAGTGCCTGTTGCTTTGACTTTCCCTTGAACTCTGAGGTAAAATAACCCTTTCTCCTTAAATGACTTGTGTCCAGGTATTTTACCATAGCAACAAGAAAAGAAGCTAAGCCACCCTAAGTCTCCAAAACTAATTGGGTCAAATAAGAAGCATATTAATGTCTTCCAAGGTCAATGTCCCCATAATCTAAGTAACTTGCACTAGACCACACCTCCTACACATTCACTACTGCGCAGCATCACCACACTGGGCAAGAATGGAGGACTGACCACACTCAAATGGTAGGGTATATACCCAAATGAAATGAAACCAGAATCCTTAAGAGATATCAGCATTCCAAAGTTCATTTCATTATTCACAAGAGCCAAGATATAGAAACAGCTATCTGTCAATGATGGATGGGTAAAGAAAAGGTGAGACACATCTCTGCCATATATATTACATGCACACATATATACAATGTAATAATATTCAGCCATAAGTAAGAAAATCCTGCCATTTGTGACAATACATTATGCTAAGCATAATAAGATACAAAAGGACACTATGACCTCACTTATATGGAATCTTAAACACATACACTCATTTGGCAGAGGTGGGACATGGGGAGATGTTGATCAAAGGGTACCAGTTTGGGGGATTTTTATTCAGAATGAATAGCATGTTGTTATAACATAAATTCTAATCTCATGTAGAGCATTATGACTGCAGCTGATAATAGTTTATATTGTACTTGAAATTTGCTAGCAGACTAAGCATAAATTATCTCACCACAAAAACAAATAAAACCAACAACAGGTGGTAGATGTGTTAATTAGCGTTACTGGTGAACTTTCACAATGCAGGGCTGGAGAGATGGCTCAGCGGTAAGAGCACTGGCTGTTCTTGTAGAGGACCTGAATTCACATCCCAGTACCCACAAGGTGGCTAACAACTGTCTATCACTTCAATTGTAGGGATCCAACGCCCTCTTCTGTCCTCCATGAGCACTGCAGGACATGGGTGCACTTACACAAATGCACGCATAACATTCATACATATAAAATAAAAATAAGTCAAGCTGGACATGGTGACACATGCCTTTGATCCCAGCACTCGGGAGGTAGAGGCAGGCAGATCTCTGAGTTCAAGGCCAGCCTGGTCTACACAGCAAGTTCCAGGCCAGCTGGAGCTACAGGTAGATTCTGTCTCAAAAAGACAGGAAGAAAGAAAGAAAGAAAGAAAGAAAGAAAGAAAGAAAGAAAGAAAGAAAGAAAGAAAGAAAGAAAGAAAGAAAGAAAGAAAGAAAGAAAGAAAGAAGGAAGGAAGGAAGGAAGGAAGGAAGGAGAAAAGAAAGAAAGAGAGAAAGAAATTAATTTCACAATGTGTATAAGCATCAACTTATCTCTCTAGGGAGACTGGAGGCCAGACATCACTTCAAGGAGATGAGACTTGAGCTGAGTTGGGGAAGATGGATGGGGAGGAGATGCTGGGGGAGACAGGGTGAAGGGCTTTTCGAAACACACCAACAGTGAGTGCAGAAGAGAAGCTGACAGCCTTCATTTTGATTTTATCTTATTAAAACTTTATTCTTGTAGACTAGTGATGACTCAGTAAACCATCAGGTATGCTGTGTGAGAACAGAACACTTTTTTACATGTTTGGTATTTTTATCTTGAGACTGGTGAAGGCTCAGCAAAACACAATTTTTAAGAACTTAAAACTTTGTATTTTCAGAGCCAGACTGATGGCTCAACAGTTAAGAGTACCAGCTGGTCTTGCTGAGGACCCAGGTTCAGGACCCAGCACCCACATGGTAGCTAATAACCATCCTAATTCCAGTTCCAGGAGATCCCAATGCCCTCTTCTGACCTCCATGGGCATTGCATGACATGGGTGCATTTACAAATGTGCAGACAATATACTCATACATATAAAATAACAAAATATTTTTTAAAACTTTGTATTTTCATGCAAGTTTCATACATATGAAGAAATATAAAAACTGTTCTTACCAAACCACTTTTAAAGTTTTGAATCCTTTTCTTTCCTAACTTGCAGAATAGCCATAAGCCCCAGGTTGGCATATACTGCCACACATATGCCCCCAACAAGCTAGGTTGATCAGAGATCCAAACTTCCTTCAAATCATTGGCCATGGAGATTAGCATCAGCTGCACACAGCGACTGGTTGCCATCTTGTAAGACTGGTCTCCAGTGTTCTCTATAGACTAAAAGTTGAAAAAGAAGAAAATGTTGAGTATTGATCCAAATTACCCATATTAGGTACTTTGCTGTTGCTGTGATAAGACACTGTGACCAATGAACTTACAGAAAGAAGAGTTTATTTAAGCTTATGGTTCCAAAAGGGCAAGAGTGCATCATGACAGGGAGGCATGAAGCAGAGCAGAAAGCTGAGGCCTCACATCTTCAAGCAGGCATAGGAAGCAGAGTGACTGGAGCTCTGGCAAGGCTTAAGAACCCTCAAAGCCACCCCCAGTGACGTGCTTCCTCCAGCATGGCCACTGCTCCTGAAGACTCCCAAAACAGTGCCACCAACTGGAGACAAAATGTCCAAATACTTGGAGGCTATGGGGGACATTCTCACTCAAACCACCACACTACCTCATAAAAACCTTAGCCACAAAAAAACTAAAGGCCATCAGTAGCAGGGTTTCTTTAGGATGGACCTCATGTCAACTTGGATTCTTCATACATGCTACTGGGGAGTTATCAAGTAGGATCTTTCAGAAGACTAAAAGGTAAAAGTAGCCTTTCCAGATAAGATTGGGGTGCTAACTAAA